TTTCCAGCTACAGGGATCTCGAGTATTTTAAGTTATTTTTACAATGCTTTCTAAATTTTTGACAAAATAATCAAGTCAACTTCTTTTAACACAACATAATGTTAGATGACTATAATTTTAAGTGTTATACATACGTGTACTTGTTATTAGCAACTGCATTGTTTTGTGTGTGTGCTGTTTTTCTTTTAATTTCTTTTTAATTCATTTCTTTAACAAGTTTCTGTTATCACTTACTGTTTTAATGTTTAAGTAATTTAATTTTCAAAACTAAGAGTCTGAATTCAGCAATTATCTTAAATTTCTCCATTTTTAAGGTTTGTTCTTCATTATGAAATATTTTTATAAATAATTAACAAATTTGCCGATATTTCTGAATTTAAGTTATATCGTATTGTTTAATTCGGTTCAAATGTGCATGGACGGTGGCCTACATTACCACTGTCCACCACGAACATACTCAGTTATACCAAATAATATTATTAACAAGATCAACAAGGAATGGCGACGTTCAATGAACGCAACCTCACACGAACCAGCAACAAGAACTAAGCCATCGAGTTCTTTTGCCTCGTTAAACCTGAAATGTTCACTTAAATATGGTTATAATCTTACTAATTTTAACTTGCATTATTTCAGATGAGCAGAGATGGATAAGTGGCATACCGTTACAAGTATTATTACCACAGACATCACAATATATCACCTATGAGGGTTCTTTAACACAACCACAATGTCAAGAAACTGTAACATGGGTTATTTTTAACAAACCAATATATATTACTGAACGTCAAGTGAGTTATCTATATGGTTTTAAAAAATTAAAAGTTCATTGTTATGGAACTAAGTATTGGTATGTTTCTAAAATCAAAATTTTATCGGTATGTTTCTAAAATCAAAATTTCACAATAACCAAGATGAAATATTAAAATCTGGAAATAACTTTGATCCCTCGGAAGCAAATTTCTTGCATAGCAGACTGGCGTTCCCGTGAGTATGCCGGAAATTTCATTTGGCATGGGGGTGCCAGATGAGTTGCGTGCCAAACAACAACGTCATTTTAGCGCACTTTATAAATGAACCGCGTTAAAATGACGTCGTTGTTATTTAAGTTGTAAGTTCATACGCTGTTGTAAGAAAAAAGTTATGAATGAAATGACTTTAATTTCCATGAACATATATCATATTGAGGTTAACCATTTTAAATATGAAATCATATGGCAGAATATGCAAGAAAAAATATCTGACATATGTTTGCGGTTCGGACCGGAATATCCGCCCCTGGGGAACCCGCCCAGAGGGGCGTTCCCCTCGGGACGAATATTCCTGTCCAAACCGCAACAATTAACAGATATTATTAATCACAACGAAATTACATGAAAATTGAAGACTTTGTTTGAGTGAGTCTGTCAATGAGCGATTATGAAAAAGTGCAACACACCTCACACCCCTAGCACCGGCTTCACTGGAAAGTGCAAGTTACCGTCCACGCCCCCTAGCACCGGCTTAAGCAGAATTCATCATTTAAACACAAAAATGGTGAATTTTGAATTAAGAAACATCCGCAGATGTGTTCATACGGCGGTTATCATGGAACCTTCAATGTGACACAGTAGTGTCATTCCATGAAAAGCGGCGTATGGTCCCCAAGTAAAAGAATGCGTGTGCCCTAAACGAGAAAATCAATGGGCGGAACTGAATAAAATGAAATTTCGAAAGGTTATCTGAGTATGCTTTAGTCGGTGCTATGGGGACTTGGACGGTAACTTGCACTTTCCAGTACCGTTCATAAACAGGCTCAAACAAATATTTTCAGTTTTGTAGTTTTGGTCGTTTTTTAGGGATTCCGTTTTTCTCTTTTTTAGTATGGAACATTTTTATCTGTTTCACCTGAAATATATATAATAATAAATATGCAACAATGTATTTTAATATAAATTCGTTAAAAGAGTACAACATTGACAAAGAGACTTTTACTTTTTCATGTTATATCTATAAAATCATTATAATTAAACTATCGTATACCTCAAAGGAAGCTGAACCTTATGTTACTTGACAACTTTAATGTGTATATTTTATAACTGTATGACCCAATACACGAATAAGTATTGTTTTTATGTTCCAGCTTCTTCTTCTGCGCAATATAAATAAAGAGAGCGGAAAACATTTACTGCTTTTTGGAAATATCCGTCCGTCACAACCTGTAAACAACCGATTGGTGCGAACTAATATAAGCTACAAGCCTAGGGTAAACTACTTTTCTTTTTAATATGTATCTTCTTTTATAAAGTGCAATGGTTATTCAACACAAACTACTTAATAAAAGACCATAACGTTTTGAAAAAAAACTTTTTCTAAATATTGTTTTCTTAAAATAAGATAAAGTGACTGTTAATGGTTAGATATCTGCCTAATCAGCAAAGTGTTTTATTAATTGATTGTTTGCATCACTTATATATTAAAATCAGGCTCCTTTGAAAACAACATCAAAATGTGGTCGCATTTTTATAAAAGTGTTGTGTTTTTTGTTGGTATTTTTTTTTGGAGGGGGGATGAGGTTTTTATTATTATTATTATTATTATTATTATTATTATTATTATTATTATTATCATCATCATCATCATATGAAAAGGTATTATTAATCATAATGTCAAACCAGAAGATATTTTTCAATTTTCCAGACTAAAGCGTGTTCTATGGCAAAAGAAGTATTCTATGAAGGTAAATATATATCAGTATTAATTATGCAGCGTAGTTAATGTTTTATTAATTTTATATCTAGGTTTGACAACAAGATTGTAAGCCTAAATTACATTTATTTAGATACCATATTGCCTCATCTTAGTTAGTGATGATTAAAGTATACTTATCTTATTTCCTTTAAGTTAAGATAAACAAGTTAGTTCAATTACATAAGCGGTATGTTCCTTTTTTTCCGACTGTCACAATAAGAATTGCTCGTCCTTATAGCCCTACTTCCTTTATCTTAAAAGAAAGAATATTCATGTCACCAAACAATATACATGTATTTTAGCACAACAATATGTGTTAATTTTATTTTTTTATTTTTCGGTATGATATGACTTTGTCCTTAAAATAGCTTTAATCTTCCCCCGCCTACCACGTTTCCAATGCTACAGTGTTGTGCTACCTTTAAGGTATTTTAATACTGCTCAATTATAACTATTTCATAGTAAACTAAATTGTCATTTTTATAAATGTATTCTTGTTTTCATATTGATCATTTAATTCTTTTCAGTAAATACAATAAAACCCAGGAAGGGAAGATGAAACTATTTGTGTTGGAAAAGAGCCGCCATCTTAAATGTGATATGTAGGATACAGATTCGCTTTTCGACTGAAAACCGGATACTAGAATTGGAATAAATTCTCGAACTGTTAGCGAGAAATCAGTTGTTGACGGTTATCTTGCTGAAAGTGGCCAAAGACGCTGAATGCGATGCTTCTGAAACTTGCCAGCAATAATGGAGGAGTTACCTCTCTTCATGAATAAAGTTTGAATAACTTAAAGTAAACCTTAAATAAAGCATAAAGGTTGTCTGCGCCATAAAATTTTGTTAGCTTAAATGGTTCTTGATTAAATGAATACAATTAAATATATCATCTGCCAAAATCTTGGAAACCATTTAACCCTAGACATAATGCAACATGTTCGATTAACTTTATGATGATTTATGTAAATGAGATTGCATGTTATGAATACATTGTATAGCATTATATTTATAAAAACAGTTCATATTAGCTTATATAAATATATTCATACCTTTAAAGCAATAGTGTTCAGTATTAAGATGAATGTGTTTTTTACACTTTAGAAATATATTAAAATGTCTATATTAATGTTTTCATATACATTGTAGGACTAATGTAGTCTTGAAAGGAAATATGTTCATTATATAAAACATAAAAGTTATTTTGTTGTTGTTGTTGTTGTTGTTTTTAAATGCATTTAACATTGTATGTTTACCATAGTTAATTCTGTTCAGTTGAAGTAAAAACATTATTGATTTAAGTCTGCTTATAAAGAAAGCTTGTACCGTATTTAAACCACTCCTGAGTCTGCTTCCTGCACACAACAGTACTGGTGTAATATCAGAGCATGGTAGTCGGCCCGTTATGGCTCGAACTCACTATCCTTTGGTTAGAGAAGAGGAACATATACCTTATCCACGAGTTAAATGTGTTATCCGTTAAGACACAAAATAGTTTAAAATTTGCTTTAAAAAACGCAACGGCAATCTAACGCAAAAATATTTCTTTGAGCAAGACAGAGTGTTTTACATGAAACACATGCTTCGATCACTCAACTAAACATTGCGCTCATATTAACTTGTAGATCTGTGCTCTTGTGTATTCCTACGCGTACATATTCTGTTTCATAAAGGAACAAAATCAGAAACACCTTCTTCTTTCTGTCACAATAACTGGATACGCCCCTCGTACAAATCGGATACCCTCGTGTCTTGATTCTCTCTTTTATTTACGAATATCAAAATGACTTCCATTACAACCTGAATATATTTTTATTAATTTCAAAGGTATTTGTGTATAATAAAATTAAAATTATGTCATCTAATTATGTCAACTACTCATTTCCTTTTATTATAGAACACAATACGTTAAGGTCCATTAAGCCTAAAATCCTATCATTTTTATTTTTCAAAAGCTGTTTAATTTTGGTGCCCTGTTGCAATTTCCAAACAGTTACTAATTGGCCATTTCGCCGAGCCATATTTAACCTTATTGTTAATCAGTATACTTGTGGTGATTTAGCATTTTGTATGGAAGTCATATTGCTTACATTTTTTTATACCTTTATCAAAAAAAGTTCACATTCTTAAGTATTGTCCTCAGGTGATAAGTAGCTCACATGCTCTAAGTCTATTATTACAAGATAATAGAACTCATGTTTGCCTTTTCCACAGAAATGAAAAGTATTGATTATTATGCATAATGTTATTTTAACACATATATACTTAAAAATGCTCGATTGTGTTTCTTCTGTTAATTTGCATCGTTTAATATCTCTAACAGAACAAGTCACAATACCAATTTGATATAGATGACTATAAATATAATACCGAAATAAATGTTCTGATCAATATTGCAGCTATTCTTAAATTTGTATCTACAACAATATGTATATTTCATTTAGCTCTTTAAACAAAATCAACATTGAAAACACATAACGCCTTACAAGAGAACATTAAAACCTGATTGATACCAGTGTTGGCACCATTTGTTTACTCAGACTGGAATTGCAAATTAGCTCTTTATTACAAATGACTACATGAAGTTGTCGAAGATTGTTCAAAGTAAACATGAGCTGCCTTTTTTTAATCTTAGCATCAGATAAATTGTTTGCAGAAGCTTATACATTTATTATTTTTATCCACAGATAGGAGAAAAACATGGTTAGTCATTTTTTATTTGTCAATACAGGATAAAAAGAAGAGATGTTCTTTATTATCACAATATTACTCATATAACTAGAATCGCATTCAATCGCAAACCTAGTCAGAGTCCTAGACAGCAAACTATATCAAATTTTGATTTGCAAGCGATATTTTATTTTCATTTCAATAAATAACCTTATAAATGCACTTATTTTAAAATTTTGAAGAAAATAAAATAAGACTGGTTAAATTAATTGATGGAGCAACTTTTTCACTTTCAACGAAAAACGAGCAGTACAATTGTTTTAAAATACAAAACTTGATAGTTAGTTCCTCATCATTTACACACTAAAAGAAAATCTTAATGCCCTATATAGTTTTTGAATGTTTTACACACAAGACAATGGAATCATTCCTCTTTAAGACGAAAGGAAATTCTGCAAGTTAACTATTTAAGCAATAAACACAAACAATGTTGTAATATTATAACTTATATGCCAATTTTGATAACCTGTGATATGGATTACACGGCAATTGCTTACGTTCTTGGGAATGTGCATTTTTATAGAAAAATTTAAATGCATGCACGTTACTTTTGAGGACTAAGCTATAAAACTTCTTTGAGACAACATTCCTTTAATGTAAAATGGGTAAATATCAGGTACTGTTTTGTACCAATTGAGATTACATTTATTTTCGAATTAACATCTTGGTTTACATGTAATAAATACCATTTTAGGTTGTCAAATGTTTCCCCTACCCAAGTATTTAACAACTGTAAAGAAGTGGATTTATCAGCTCGTTGCAAGTTCTCTGATAAACAGTCATTTACTATGATCATAAATCTGAATGTTACTTAAATCCGTTGTCATTATAATTGTTAGTTTTACATTTTTCGTGTTGATTATGTATAAACGCATCTGAGACAGTTTATTATACTTTAACATCAAAATTCTCATAAGCGCCAATACATTCATACCAAAAGTTAATTTTTGAACAATGATACTTTCTAGTACATGTACATATGACTAGTAATCCATTAATAATACTAGTAATACCTTTTCATATTTTGCACCTCAGTTTGGTAAATTTTTTATCTTCCTTTATCTTGTAAATGAAAGGTTTGTTATTATTGGATAGGAAAGGAAACTGAAAAACGAGATATATCAAATTACAGATATACAAGTCATACAGAAGTGATTTTGGGCACCGCATTAGAAAAAACACTACAGGGATGTTTACACCGGTAAATGGTGAACCATTCCAAACGTTGTCTTTATTAGCAGAATGCGTTAAAGGAAGGCAGAGAAACAAGTCAATCACGTACAAGGGTCCGGCAAAACTAGACAGAAAACTAAAATTAAAATATTCAAGTCCCGATGAGTTTGATTAAATGTCAATCATAGAGTCTCCCACTTGACCATTTACATGCAATCAAAAGCGGCACACGTAGCCTCCGACTATTAATTAGTTTAATACTGAGCTTGCGGAATGTTTTAATATAGTTGAGTCATAACCCCATTTAAAAAATGCATTTGTCATCCGTTACTGCAATGACATGATTTAAATGGTCTTCAAAAATGCAAGAATAACATATTAACATACTGTTTGTTTAATTATCTTTTTATAATTGATGTATTGACATTCTAGAGAACCTTATGTTGCATAATTGATAAATGGGAATATAGATGAAGAATGAAAAGATAATGTATATAAAACGACGTCACAAATTAGTACATCTTAATAAATCTATCTTATGTTTGGAACACTTAAAAATGCGGTTTAAATTTCAGACATAATAAAAAAAATGAAAACATTGTTTTCATTGTGATGAATAAATGTCGTGATTGAATTGGCGTTTCTGAGAGCTTAATCATCTGAACTTTCAACATGACAAAATATGTTTAAAAAATTTATTTTTATGTCACTTGGTCAAAGATAAAATTCAAATTTATCTTTAGTTAACAGAATGACTACATTTTGTAAATATGTAAAACAAATCCCGAAGTATGTGAGGTTTAGAAAATGTTTGTTTCTTTTGTTCGATTGGGTTTTACGTATAACATATAGATTTTAAATGTGTACATTTTAATAGCATTTTCATTCATTGTTAACTCACATAAGTTTTCATTATAGTTAATGCAAATTTATACAAGATATGAAAACAAAAATGTCAAACTTTTTTTATGTGTTTGAATCCTTGGAAATAATTATGCTCAATGTCTCAAATGATTTAGTTTCTAGTAATAAAGTTGGAAAAAAGAGGAATATGTTCAAAAATATAGACCGACAGTCTTCTTTATCGATAAGGGGCATTGTTTTATTAATATCAATAAAAATGAGAAAATTATTTACGTCAATCTGTGCAAGACAAATGATTTAATTTTCATAGCAAATCATTAAATGGCTCGTCAAAGTGGTGCATAATTGTTTTATTCAGGACCCAGGACCAATGTCAAGGATATAAAAGAAGATAATAGTGATAAGCAGCTGTTAATAATCTTTAACAATGCAAAACGCTGGCGTACACGTTCGTGTGGCATAAATTATATTAAGATGGTAAATTGTAAGTTTTGTTTTTATTTTAGTGATTCTAAACTACGCGGGACCGCGTCGAATAAGCTGCAACAAATAAAGTTTGTTGATTAGGGTTTCAACTATATATATATACATGTCTATGTCTGAAAAGAGAAATGGGATAATTGCTATGCATAAATTTAAGTCAATTGTAAATTCCGCATTTTAACCTGTATTTGCCATGTTTGTCGAATTAAATATTGTTGATTTGTGTTGTTTATACTGGTATACTTGTGTTTGTAAACAAACGGTATGATAAGGCAACATAATTAAAACTACCGTCATCTACATCAGCAGATATATATTTTGCAAAAACCTCCTGATTTTTTCAGAAAACTGGTTTTAGTAATTGATGGAAAAAACATTGACTTTCAACGCAATTGATTAAAATGCTGATATTAACTTGACCAAGACATTAATTTTAAGTTATACAGTACATTTACATTTTTTGTGTTAATGTTTCTTTTTTTCTTGTAAAATTGAAATCAAATAAAAGTTCGTCAATATCTCAAATTTGTTACAATAAATCCATTACTGGTTTTTATTATCAATAAATTGTTTATATTTGCTTTTACATCAAAGTCTCCTATTTTTATAAGACAAAAAACTATTAATTTGCTGTAAATACAAGTCAAACATCAATGCGTTTTCAAAAGTTGGAAACAAATCTTCAGTACTAGATTAAAGTATCATGAAACATAGACGCAAATTAAAACTATCTGGAATAGCACTTTCACTTCTTTTTAATTGACAATGAAAAAAATCTATGCCCTCCTTAAAGATAAATTACATTTTTGTCCTTGAATTTCACCGTCATTTGATAAAATCAATGGTAGATCTTCACTAATTGGCTTACGTATAACACCATAGCTGGTAACTCATATTCAGGAGAAAATGAGTCAGGAGTTAGTG